AACTCCTTGATGAGAAAGCTCGTATTGCAAGAGAGGCAGAAGTAAAGGAAAGAGCATAACGCGAAGCTCAGGTCACCTTGGAAAGTCGAAAGACTTTGTTTCCACCATGGACCATGGAGCGAATCCTAAATGAGGCTATTGACAATCCGAGTATGCATTGGCTGGAACCAGTTACTTCATTCGATCTAGAGAATTTGCAGGATTCGCAGTTCGATATCCCAATAACTCTGAAAGCGTTTCTTTTTCGTTGTTTCGATTCAACTGTGAATGCTCCAGCTTCGGATACGAATGTTGATAGGTCTTTGATAAAGTTCTACTTGTCCCAAGGCAAACCTCAATACCTCACGTGGAGTGCACAAAAGATTACTACCATGAAGGTCATAAGGCCAATTGAAACAGGGAGCTTCGTGAACGTTAAATTTAAAACAACAAGAGGATCCAAAAGTGTTGTTCATGAATTCTCCTTAGCTGACTTACCATGCCTAAATCCTTATGACTGGTTCGTTTTGTTGGATTTCCTCCTGAGAGACGAAAAGAAGTACGAACCAGTTTTGATGCACATAAAGCAAATGCTGATTTCATACATCTATGAAGTAGTGAACTTTGATGTTGAAAACGCTTCGGTTCTGAAGAGGAAACCCACTGCTCCCCTTACTGGTAAAACGAGAGATATCAATCAGATGCAGATGAGGAAGATTGATAAAGAGAATTAGACTGTGATGTTTCATCGTGGTACCGGAGCTAGCTTGAAGAAATGCCTCTTCGCATTGCCTGATAAGCATCTCTTCTCTACAGTTTGCTTAGAGTTTATTTTGGATATCACAGGCCAATGTAAACTGAATGACGAAGCTGTGAAGAAGAACTTCTCTGATATGATTCACTGGTACATTACTTTTCGCATGCACATTCTCACGGTCATTCCCAAGCTCTTCAAGACCACAAAGAAGACTCAGCAGTGAAGAGCCTCTCGCCTCAATGGACGCAAAGGGGGAGATTGTTGGGAATTAATGTTGCATCATTTAGTCTTATTTAATTGTTTATTTATGTATTTAAGTTGCATGCATGCACCGTGTTTATTAGGGTTAGAGTATTTAAGTTGCATGCATGCACCGTGTTTTGATAACTTTTGCAATTATTCTTGTAACCCTAATCGCACCTTTACAGTAGCAATTCTTAATCGAGTTCTTCTGAGGCTGTGACTTATAATCATTCAACATATTTTGAATCATTGTCGTGTTCTTGTTCTTAAACTGTTTTGAATCTAATTGATCTTTCAAGGATTATTATCCCAACAGAAGTATATGATGGAGATTCTAATTAAAAAAATAAAATGTTTTTTTGTAATAGAAACTTTATTTGAAGTATACCTTTTATTCATATTGTTTGTCTAACTTTTATTCATGTTGTTTGTCTAACTTTTATTCATATTGTGTTTCTATATTGTACATATTGTAATTTTACAGTCTCCATATGAGGTTTAGTTTTATGATACTCTTTACCATGATGGTCGATGTTATGGGCCTTGGACACGGAGGTGATGGAGTCGGGGATCCACCACCTCCGGTAGGCTTTGGTCACGGTCAGCACGAACAGGATGGTAAGTCTTACTATGATATATTTACTAGCTATTTTTATTAATTTATAATAAATTATCGTGACTAATATTTTTAATTGTATTTTTTCAGCTGAGCTTCCAAAGAAAAGAAGGGGTTTATCTAAAAACATCAAGCTAGGAAAGTTGATACGGGCAAACAAGGAAAATCCCGTGGATTTGGATTTCGACAGGGAGATCACATATTCCCCTGTCGGGAAGCGTGCTAATTGGTTTTCATGTGAGATTGGGAGGTATATGTTGATGAACATACCTTTCAGCGTATATGGTTGGGACAATGTTTCCCCCGCGTTAAGGAATGCAACAGTCGTGCATCTAAAGGTAACTTGGTTAATATATTAAGTTTAGTTGTGATTGGTATTTAATTAACTAACTTTTTTGTATTTGTAGAATAAGTTTGATTTGGATAAGGTTAACTTGGATCTCGAGCGCTCAGTTGTCGCTGAGCATTGATGCGAGTCTTCCAAATTTTACAAAGGCCAGAAAAGTAAAGCCCATACTTATTTTACAGATATCGGCGGGCCTGTAGATATCCCAATGGAATTAAACAACCCCCCCCCCCCGATGGTATGTCACATGAAAATTGAGCGAAGTCAATCGAACATTTTCAAACGCCCGAATTTTTAAAGCGTTCAACGTCAAACAAAAAAGTCCATGCAAAACAACAAGTTCTAAACAGAGGGGGGGTCGACCTCTTATAGCAATGTCTGTTTCAAAGAAGTAGGTTATGATATATTTAAATGTTCATTTAAAGTATAATTAATCTAATTTTTAATGTTAAATAGGATATCACTCGAGTCGAAGCATTTCGTAAGGCTAATACCAATCACCAAGGGGTATTTAGTAGTCCTGCATTCGAGCAACAATATGTAAGTGGTTAATTTGTATTTTCAAATAAGTGTTTATATCGTCAAGGGGTATTTAGTAATTTAATTTTTATGGTGTTTATCATTTTTTGAAAATACAATTGGCTTTACTCCATGAGATCAATCAACAAACCCAATCTTCTTCTGAAGCAAGCGGTCTAACACCAAGTGATATGTTGGGCGTAAACCTCCTACAGTTGTGTCTATGTACGATCAGGAACAAACGGTGACACAACCACCACCACAATTACAGGTAATTGTTAGTTTAAGTTGAAAAGTATAATGCTATAATGATATGTTGGTAATTGTTTGTTTAGTATATAGTACAATGCTATAATGGAAAGTAGAATGCTATAATGATATGTTGGTTATGGTTTGATATGTTGATATTTTGTATTTTTGTAATTTTTGGAAAGTACAATGCTATAATGAAAAAATGAAAAAAAGTACAATGTTATAATGAATATGGAATATTATGTATCATGTAGTTTGGTTATAATTTGATATGTTGGTATTTTGTAGTTTAATAATTTTTTGGAAAGTACAATGCTATAATAGAAAAATGAAAAAAAAGTATAATGTTATAATGTATATGCAATAATGTGTATCATGTAGTTTGGTTATAGTTTGATATGTTGGTATTTTGTAGTTTGGTAATTTTTTGGAAAGTACAATGCTATAATGGAAAAAAAGTACAATGCTATAATGTATATACAATATTGTGTATCATGTAGTTTGGTTATAGTTTGATATGTTGGTATTTTGTAGTTTGGTAATTTTTTGGAAAGTACAATGCTATAATGTATATATTGTGCATGATGTATGTTTAAGTGTATTTGGAAAGTAGAATGCTATAATGATATGTTGGTTATAATTTGATATTCTGGTATTTTTTTATTTTGGTAATTTTTGGAAAGTATAATGCTATTATGACATGTTTGGTAATATATTTCACTTTCTTTGTAGTTGGAAATGCTGTGAACAATACTAAAGGACCCGGCCTGTTCTGCGGCACTAGAAGACTGATTTATCTCATTGCCGCCACGAAATGATAACGAATGAAATGGTGAGAGTGATGAGGACGAGTAGCTACTTTGTTAGGATTTTATGAAATTTTTTGTTTGAGTTAATATTTTGGATATATTGCACTTTGTTTGGATGAATATTTGGTTTGGATGAATATTTCGACCGTTTGTGTATGGACTAATATTTCTGCAAAATTAGGTTTTGTAGCAATTTGTATGAATATTATAGCAGTTTTTATAATTTTAATGTTACATTTAAAAAAACGTAAAATGTTTTAGCAGCGACACCTACGTATTAGTGGCGACAACTCATTAGCGGCAACACGTAATATTTGCGACGACAGGTAGTATTTACGACGACATATTGAGCAATTGCGACGAAACAACGGCAACGATCTTTTTGCGGCGACGTGTCACCGCAAATAGCTTTAGCGGCGACACGTGTCGCCGCTAATGCTCACATTTTTTTGTAGTGGGTGTCTTCTTTTATAGCCTCCTACTTTCCCCACCATGGTTTATTTGTAAAATATTTTATTTATATGTAGACATATGTTTATTTTTTGAAAAATTTATTTAAATATACTTATTTTTTTATATGATATTATTTGAACAAGTTATATAGGATTAATATAAAATATGTACGAAAACAAATTAATGACTAACTTTGTAAAAAAAAAATTAATAACCGAATGTACATACAAAAACCTAAAATCGCTAATCATAACTCATAATTAGTCTTTTTTTTTTTTAAATAAAAAATTGAACATAAATTATAAATTGAGCTTAAAATAAATTTAGTGGCTAATTGTGTATAAAACCTATTGATTACCTAGACCATCTACAATATGAAAGTTTTTTATTTCAATTTCTTTTATGAAAAACTCAAAATATAAAAGCTTACTGTATCTCTTGCAATAAAAAAAAACTTGTTTATTTTGTTTTTTATTAATAACTTTTAAATTTATATATTTTTAATTGATTAAAAATCTATCAATATGACACAGAATGAAAAACTCTTAGTTAGAATTTGTTAATTAACAAACTTAGTTAAAAAAAACTTTTAATTTAAAAAGCTGTTGCTATAAGTTTTCCATTTTTCAAGAGTTATTTTTATTTGAAACTCGTAAAAGAGATTTTTTTAATAGTAGTTAAATCTTTAATAGTCTATCTAAAAATACATTATTTTATTATTGTCATGATAAATAGGCGTGTTTTGAATTTATGATTTTTAGTTACTTACAGAAGTCAATATTTTGATACCACTGTGTCGTTTTTGGTATCAGTTGAGTTGCACTAATATGAACATAGTTTTTCTAGGTTTGTATATATTTAGAGAGATGTCATCATTGTATGTCTAATCATAGGCAAAAAGCCATAATGATGATACTGTAGCATGAAAGAAGTACTATAGATCTACACACAAACGTTTCACATTCTATCAAAGAAGTTTGCTAAATGAAGAACCTTTTTTCGACACCCGGAATTGATGCATAGAATATGGAATCGCAGATCAAAATGGTGATTTCTCCTTTTTCTTTCTTATATACACGGGCTTTAATTAGTTAACATTTTTCATAATATGCTTGTGTTTCTTTGCAGCTGAGAGCTCTTCTGGAAGAAAGGTTTTTCAATTCTTGTTTAGTTCACCAAGAAGATAAAAAGAATGAAGAGAATAGCTTCTGTATGGATTGCTGTTTCAGTTTGTGCGTCCATTGCATGCCCCATCACCTGTCTCACAGGATTTTACAGGTTTGTTGAATCCTTCAAATTCTTTTTTGGATATCTGAGTAATATTTTAAGCTCTTCATTTATAGTTGTACGTGTGCTGTTCATCTTAGATAAGGAGGTATATGTACAACGATGTTTTACGGTTGAAAGATGCACAGAAGATATATGATTGCTCTCTTATTCAAGTAAGTTTTAATTATCGATCAAGTGCTGTTGCCCAACATATAAATCTTCCAGTTCAAAACTAGTGTTAACTTTGCGTTAAGATAAAAGATTTAGCCACAGTTACAAAAATTAATCGAAATTAAATCGCTAAATATAAGTATTATATATCTGATTCAAAATAAAATCAACCAATATACATGCTTTGAATTGAACTTAAGAAAACATAAAAGCTATTAGCGTTTTGCATAAAAAGTACGGTAATTTACCCCAAAATTTATGCTACTTGACTCTAATAATCTTTAATAGATACAAAATATTAATTAGAATCAGAAATATATAATTTAAGCAGTGAATGACTTGGAAAGTGCTAAAATAGATACGACTCCGATTTTTGTCCGACTACTTGAACTCAAATGTTCACCTATTTAAAGAGGCTAAAAAGGTTAATTAAGCCAGTGAGAGTGTGAGACCGATATTTTTTGGGTTAAATTTCTATAAGTTATATACCGTAATTATTTTAACTTGCATATACTTCTTGTTTATTAAAGCTTATGAATGACTTGATTTGAATTTTTTTTCTATCACGATATTTGGTTAATTTTTATTTTCTTATTAACCCATTATATTTTGTAAAACTTACTGATTTATAGCAAAAAGTAACCTGTTTATGGGGCAATATGTTACCTACGTGGGTAAAATTTTATGTAATATGTTATCTATGTTGGTCTGGACACTCAAATCATGATTATGTGGCTTATTTTTGACATTACAGTTAATCCGAATTAAGTAATACACTCTGACAAGATGAAACTAATCATTAATTACTAGCTTTATTTCTTAAATAGACAAAAAAACACACTAATTAAGTTCTAAAACCATATGTAAAATTTAAAAACCACGAATTATCAAGTAGATTAACAATCATAGACTACTACCTGATTTTAGTTCTAAGCAGAATTTTGTTAGCTTGGCTGAAGCAAAATTGTTATTCAAAATTTCAAAATCTAGAGATTTTAGTCAAATTTTCTTATTTTCTTACTTCGGCTCAATTTTAGTCTCTTGTTATTGGTTTCCGAACGTTTCTATTTGTAAGTACGATTTTGTGGTAACATCAACAACAATGTTTAAGTCCCATAAGCATGAAGTAAAGGGGAGGCAGGATGAAAACAACCACCACGTGAGAATAGAGGCACCGCTTCCATTATTGATTTATAGTTTTAGAAATAAACGCGAGAACAGACTAGATGATGTCATGCACATGAAGTGTCAATGACAGCAGCACGAAAGTAACTAACAATAGATGTTCAAGAAAATGCCAAAAGAAGAAAGTTTATTAACAACACAATGATCATAAAAGGCTTACATTCTACCCCTTATAAGGGCGGTATGACCGAAATTTCTTAAAATTAAAACTGACAATAAAAATATCCATTTAAAATGAAATATCTAAATCGATTAATTAAGATTCGGGGGAAACTGAAAATTGAAGGTCTAAACAGTGAAATTTGAGGATGATGGTCGTTTGAAGTTTGGGGAAAATTAAAGATTGAAGCACCAAGTCACCAACTCATTGAGAGAAGTGAGGAGTCCTTGAAACTTTTGATAGATCAAAAGTAAAGACCATTTGAAGTTGACCATCTTTCCGTTCCTTTTACCTTTGTACAATTTAATGGACTCTCCTAAGTCTAAGAGTATCTCCAATGTTCACCTCATTAGTCCAATAACTTTCCCTTTAAATAAATGATTATGGTTAATCTCTTATAATAGTTTTTTTTAGAAATTTAACTAATTTATCTATATCTATCTAAAATGTACCATAAAATCCCCTCTTTTAATTAGTCATTTTTTAAACACTAATTTATAGACATTAACACCCCGTTGCCGATTTCAATTTAAGGAGAAAAAAAGAAAGAAAATGGGTGGAAGTGAGAGGAAAGTAAAAGAATTGGTGTTCCCGAGTTTTATTAAAGGAAGGAAGTGGAAGGATCACTTTCCCTCCTAACTTTCCTTCTGATTTGGAAGAATTTGGAGAGAAAGAACAAATTGTTTAACTTTCCTTCCACTTCTCTCCAACTCGGGGATACAAAAGACAAATTTATTTTTTTTTCTTTTCTCTTCTCTCCTTACTTTTTTTCTTTGCTACAACTCGGGAACGGGGTGTAAAGGCCACAACAAATGGAAATATAAATATAAGGTCTTTGCTACAACTCGGGAACGGGGTGTAAAGGCCACAACAAATGGAAATATAAATATAAGGACGCCGGGTCTTTAATTTATATAAATAAGATCGAAAAAGTTATTATGTTATAGCTATAAAAATAATAAAAGTACATTGAATATATTATATATTTGTGATAAAAATTATATTATATAATGAAAATATCGTTGAATATTTAATAAAAATAATTAATAATCTATTAGTAAATGAATAACAAATATTTAAACCTAAATCATAATTAAGGGGGTAAAATAAAACATGGTAAGGAGGAGGGGATAGATGGATAAAACATGAAAATATATTGAATAGTCAATAAATAACCAAAAAAAAACTATGTGTTGTTTTGTGGTTATATCTTATTCCATTTGAAAGTCTGAAACTTTTTCGTATCATTTAATAATTGTGATGTTTATTTTTTCAGTTTATTGTGAGTAAATTATATGGCTTTGTTTTTATTTGTCACCAGTCATACACGACAAACAGTGAGAAAGTTCTATTATTGCGCCCGAGGCAACGTGTGTCACCTCCTGTAAGAGGTTCTAGATGTACGTGTTTCGTCTGCAATCAGAACATCAAGCCATCCTTTGTTTATTGCTCAATGGTTTGCAAGGTCCGTGTTTAAATCTTCTCCCTAGCTTACATATATTTATACTCACATATGCAGATAAGTGTTACATGGTCCCCTTGGGAGGCTCCCCTCTTTCTATAAGGCTCTTTTCTAAAATAAACCAATGTGTCTCTACATGTAAGACTCAACACTTATAGACGCACCGATATATGCTACACTAACAATAAAAATATAGATATATAAACTTACATCAGAAAATAAAAATATTAGTGCATCCCATATTGGTGTGACACGGTGCCTTATGTATCTATATATGTTCGAGTCTCTCAATTCCCCATATGATCACTTTTGAAGAGTAATCCTATAACTCTACATCTACTATCTTATAGTAAAATTGTATGTAAAAATTATCTGTTAAGAAACCAATTATGCATGTGCTATTTACCCCAGAAAAATTGTCTGCTATAATTTTATAAAAATGTCTGTGGCTCAATTTTGATAGTCATCCATGTTTGCACCATAAATCTTTTGATTGTAATGAACTTTTTGTCTGAAGACTTGTGTTTTAACCAGTCTTTTCATCTGTTCCAATTTCTGGGTTGGTTAGTTATATTCTTGTTGGCTCACTGTGTCATCTTTGTTGATAACAGATTACTAATGAGACTGCATCGATCAGTGGTCAGAGAGTATACACCTACAGTTCAAGAGGTGTTGGGAGGAGCTTCCTTATGTCTGGTTCTGTTTCAGAATGTCTTGTTTCATCCGTTGAAACTTCAGTTGAAGAAAACTCAACCAATTATGATAGCATGGCCGTTAAGCAAAATATATTAGCAACTACTTCATCAAGCAATGGCTTCACCAGAAAATTGCATGGCCGAAAATGTGTTCCTCAGCGCTCTCCGCTTTTTTAACTGCATCGCCTGTTTAATTTACTTGTGCACTTCTTCCTGAATCCGAGGATTTTACTGCTGTTAAATTTTGCAAGTGTTGCATTTTCATTGATGTGATGTGAAATGCTACACTTGCAAATATTATGTGTGCTAGTGTTACTTGACATATATTATAATAGTTGCTTGTAATGCTCTGACATGGCAAATGATAATATTGGATACATTCCATGTAACGTACGTCCCACCATATAGTATAAAACTATAACGTAAAGCCATTGTCGTGGCATATTTCAACTAAATTCAATTATTAATTAAAAATTTAATAGTTTTTTTTCAAATAAGTTCAACCATTAGTTTTATCTATCTAAAATTTAAAATATTCTATAAATTTATCAGTTGAATGTGTAATGACAATATAAGTATAATTTAATGAACTGTTAAATATAAATATATTGGTTGTCTTTTAATAATTATTAACCTAGTAAAATATTAATAAAATAAACTATTTAACAAGAACCAATAGTTATTTAAAAGTTCAATATAACTGGATAAATAAGTTAACATATTATTAAATAAGGAGTCCAAAGTATATGCATTGTATAAAAGTAAAATAAATATTTAATATATTGAATGATAAATAAAAAAATTATTTTAATCCAGCATATTTTAGTTGTGCTTGTTATCAGTTAAATAATAACTAATCCGAAAAAAGCTCCAATTAAAAATAATTTTCATGTGCAAAATTGAATTTTCTCTATTTAGTCTTAAGGGCATACACAATGGATTGTCATTGCCATATCAACATTTCATTTTTTATTCAACTATATTGGTTAAGATTCACATTCCATTAATCCCTACAAAGTTTAATGGATTTCCATATCATCATCTTTATATTTAAAAACATAATTATAAATTTAAAAATAAAATAGTTAAAAAAAAATACAATACTTAAAAATACATTAATTAAAAATTACAAAACTTAAAACATTTTATATCTAAAAATACATTAATTAAAAAACACAAAACCTAAAAATAAATTAATACAAAAAATGATACATACAAATTATATTTTATCACAATTAGTATTTATTAGATTTGTAACGAATATATTTTTTTTCAGTGGGTTTTTATTTTTAAATATTTCATTTGATTTATTATTTGAAAAAAATATGACACCTAAAAATATGATACATCAAATTATATAATACCTAATGGTTAGTTTTATTTGTGGGTTTGTTAAAAAAAATATATAAAATAAATATAAATATAATAAGAAAATAAGATTAAATATATATTTGGTTTGAAAATTAATTGAAAAAGAAAAGCTTAAATCCATTGAACCACTCAATGATGATACAACTCTCGCATTCAACTCCACTTCATGTCATCACCTACACTCTATTCAATTTCTATTCAATCTTAATCATCCTCTATTTAACCCTTATTAAACCCTTATTGTGGATGCTCTAATGTCGAATGCAGGTCCAACCTGCGAGGTTTGGGGTTAAAAGAGATGTATTTTGTTCTTTTCTTTGAAATGACTTAGGGTTTCGATTCCTACCTTACTTTATGCGTTATTTTTTATTAATTAGTTTCCTAATTTTCTTATCCTTATTCTAATAAAAAAATATGTTTATTTTTCCTTTTGTCATGTGTCACTCTATTAGGCTTCCTAATTAATCTCATGTCACTTGTCAACCTATTGATTCTCCATTTTAAATTTTAAATTTTAAATTTCTCACTCTAAGTATATTAAATTAACAACATTAGAATAAAAATTAAAATTAAAATAAAACTAATACAGATTATAAGTTGATATAATTTCATGTCTTTATTTAAATAAACAATTATAATTTTATAGAACTAAAAAAATATCTCTTAATTAATATTTTAATTAAAAAAAATATTAATAACTATAAGTTTTTACTATGAAAATTAATTTTGTAACTATGGTTTCTACGGTTGTAAACTAGTATAATATATATCAGTTTACGCAAATGTTTACCAAAATATCTAGTAGTTCAAATGGCTAAAACATAAGATGTTTGCTCTCACCTTCAAAATTACCAAGGTTCAAAATTTCGCTTACTTTTTGAGTTATTTTATTTGACTAAAGTTTTCTGAAACTGCTGAATTGTGTTTTTAATTACTCGTTTTTTTTTAATTACTCAACTTGTCATAGTATTATATATATATATATATATATATATATATATATATATATATATATATATATATATATATATATAGGGACCCATTTTATTTTACGCACATTACCCTCAAAATTATCGGACTAACTCTGGTTAAATGTCTCATTTTTTATCGTTTATTTAAAAATATATTCCTAATACAAAAATTGACAAATATAGTGGTGAAAACAGTTCAAAAATCTCATCTTTTTATTAATCAGTAATTTTGTAAATGAAAAAGTGGGTTTGGGTTACATAACTAGTTACTTAAGTTTAAGATCTTACAATTTTAAAATTTTATTATCGAAAAATGATCCGTTCACATTAGAATTTATCCGAAAGGAAGACGATTTTTTATATCTTAACACAATTCATTACAACTTTCTAGTTTTATAATACATCAGAGCCTTAAAAATTCATTTGTTCAATTTGAAAGTGAGCATCCAAATATCCAAATTACAACAAGGATGAAGACAATCATCAATTCATCTTGAATTATACAGAACATACTTATTTGTGATCATTTGTCATCTTATGTCGTTAGTTATACATAATCACAATGATCTTGTCTCTTGTTATACTTAAGATGTTATATTTATAAAATTTAGATTTTGTTGCGACAAAAATTATGGGTCATGCTAAAGTAGTTAAGTTGATTCCACTATTGACCTTTTAGTCAAAATCAAGTTATGATATGTACTGCATAACCTAGATCTTGCACGTAAATTTGAATATAAGTTCAAATTTGTATGATTTGCCGATCTTTATCCAATCTTACGATCTTGCGAAACATAAAACAATATTTGGTAAGATCTCAATGCATAGACAACCTTAACTATATTATATATAAAAAGACAACTTCGATGGATGTTTCCACTGATGGTTTGCACCCTGAGTTTTCATAAATGACATTTTTACCTCTATACTTTTTAAAATACTTTGCAAAATAACATTTTCCATCATTTTACATTTAAAATGGCACTTTAGCCCCCGTCCACTTGTACTTTGTATAGTGTCATTTTCACCTCTTTATTTTCTAAATTTCCGTGTTTATCCAACGTAGTATGTAATATAATTTGATTTTCCTTAATAAGTTTTGTACACTAAGTTAAAAGACCTAATTTTTTACATGCTTAGTTTTATATATATATATATATATATATATATATATATATATATGTCGATATAAATTTCAAGTGGTCAATATTTTTATGTGAATTTTTAAAAAAAATTACTTGATTTTTTTATGTACAAGTCCATATAAATTCGAGTTTGTCTACGTTTCAACAAAAAATTTTATTATGTTTTCGTGCTTATTTTTATGTATGTTTCTTACGTATAAATAGAGTCACATATAATACAATTTTATTTTTTTGAACTCCCATTATTTAAATTATAAAAAAAAATCTTACATACTTATTTTTATGTATATGTCTCCCTTGTAGTATACATAATCTGATTTTTCTTGATAATTTTCATTCGTTAACTTTAAAAAAAATTACACTCGACCTTTTAACCTTCCGTTTTTACCCCATCCACCGACATTTTAGTGAGTGGTACAGACTTTTTTTATTTATCTACCAACAAATGTAACAATACCTAACTTTTAGAAATACAATCATTAATATTCAAATTACAAAACAGATCGGCCCCATTGTAACGTGAGGCGGTAAAATATTATTACTTTATAAATATAGATTTGGAGATCTCAATATTTTTAATTTCTGTAACATTTTGCAAGTATTTATGGTAAATATATGTGATTACTTTATGGTGGTGTTTGGAATTGTTAGTTTGATACCGATAAAAAGGTTTTTAGTGATTGGATAAAAAGATTTTATAAGCACTTATTGACTTAAATAAGAAGTTTTTGATAAGTCACTTCTTACTTACTTATTGTAACATATGAGGTTGTGTATTAGAGATTTTTGGTGTTGAGTTCCCGATTTATCTTATTCCTATCGCGATGGGGTATGTCTGCGTTATTGCGGGCATGGAGTAGTTGAGTCCGTACGGGGGTTTGATTGATTGTGAGCGACAGTTGGTAACGATTCGAGACCCTAGTAGGGGAGTACTGACCATTTATGGCGATGACACTAGAGTGGGTATCTGTTTTCTGTTCTCCTGCCAGGGCAAAGCAGTGTCTTCAACATGGTTGTATGGGTTATATTCCATATGTGGTCGACACGCGGGTCGAGGGGAAGAAGTCAGTCTCCGATGTTCTGATGGTGAGTGAGTTCCTTGATGTTTTCCCAGATGATCTGTAACGTCCCAAAAATACAACCCAAAAATTTCGTTTTCAAAACATTATTAAAGTCATCAACCATCCAAAATCATAAGTAAAATCATAATCGTGTATCATAAACATCATAGTATCTGTCTCAAATCAAATCTCATATCCAAATATCAGAGTCTAGCTCCCAGGCTGAAGACTGTGGTGTGTGCCATGCGATCATCCCGAGCCCTTCCCAGTGCTAGTGGAAGTACCTGAAACCAAAACTGAAAACAGTAAGCACAAAGCTTAGTGAGTCTCCCCAATCTATCACATACCATCTACACATAGCATGCAACTAGGAGATACGGGCCTCGCCAACACTCGTGGAGATACAGGCCTCGCCCACACTCCGCTATCTAGGAGATACGGGCCTCGCCCACACTCCACTGTCTAGGAGATACGGGCCTCGCCCACACTCCACTATCTCTGAGGTACGGGCCTCGCCCATGCTAAGCTACATCGAGATACGGGCCTCGCCCACACTCGACTATAATGAGGTACGGGCCTCGCCCACACTCAACTACTAAACCCAACATACAAGTATCACACAAACAACA